ATCCTAATTAAGATTCCGGGAGGAAGCGCGACGCGAGAAACTTGCGGCTGGTCGTCCAAGTTGGGTAATTAAATGAGGAGGGGCGCGTGACTCGGCGTTATCTCCTCTGTTTCCCCCGCTGTGGCGGTCCGTCCGCGCGGACGAATTCAATTAACACGTCATACACCTTATACGCTCACCGAGTGCTTTGTCGCTCAGCCTTATTTTGTATTATACGGGGAGGCTGTTGTGCAATTTGATGATTGTGTATCCCCCGCTTCGAGCGAGATTATTTATTTTTTGGCTCTCGTTTGCGTTGACTTATACGGCGGTGGGTTTCAATTAAAACTTCGGTGGTATGATACATTTCTCGGAAGTAACGTAGCGGGTTTTTCCAATTCGCGGGAATCTTTGGGATGGGCGAGCACGAAACAGCTAATCACAGCGAAAGCTGTACGGCGTTCAATTTCGAGAGCTCGTAACTATACTTTCGGCCCGTTTTTACGGGCACCCACAGATATACGGTATTGAATTCTTCGCGAGAGAATTTTTCAATAGCCGCTTCCTCGGCCGTAAAATGAAAGGCCGATGGAAACTAATCATCGTAAAAATAAAGATATCGCCCCGCGAGCGTCTCGACATATATATACCTGTGGGAGGTTGACGGTCCCTCGATCCGCGATTGATGAAAAATCTACAAGAGCCCGTGGCATCAAAGTTCGTCGTCTCTGCTGCGCGATTTGTACCGTAAAGCTTTCTCGAACGCGCCTTGCTAGCTCGACGAAAAAAACAATGAATTCGAGGAGGGCCCACTTCGGCGAGAACCTCATAAGCTTGGCTCCCGCTTTTTTTCCTTCGATTCCCCGGTGGCTTTGTTTTTTTTTTTTTTTTTTCATCCTTTTGCGATTGTATCTCGCACGCTCGGTGCCTCGTGACCCGTGGATTTTCAGAAAAGTACCTACTCGATACAATACTCCGAGGCTGTCCCGAGGGGGCAGGCCTTGCCATCAGGGTTTATCCATCAACGTTGATGGTTAACGAGGCTCCAGACATTCATGCTGTGCACACGAAATTGTAAATAATATAATGCTATGGATAATAATGAAAAGAAAAAAAAAAAAAAAAAAAGAAAAGGCCAATAGAAGGGGGTTCTCGATCGATACACCCAGCCAAGGCAAAGGAGGAGTGGTTCAATGAAGCGTGCATCGGCTCGCCGGCCTGTGCTAAAATACGGTTGAGACGACGTACGTATATACGTGCTCTTTTGTTACACATACCTTTGCAACGTCACAAAGGTGTATTTTCCATTCCTTTCACCCCGACACCGGCCACGTGTATATCTCTCCTTTGTCCGAACTCATTTACAGGCTTTGTCTCGTATATTTGTACCTATAGTAGTGGGTGCATAGCAGTAGTATATGCCCCCGTATATAACTCAAGAAACGAGATGACTGTGTGTATGTGAATAAATTAAAAATAAGGTGTATACGGCAATTGCTGGGTGTACGATTATGTTGTAGGGGATTTTTGTTATTAAATTAAAAAATGTTGTCAAGTAATTTTACTCCGCAAGATTTACAGGTGGAATTTCCGACGGAAAGGGAGGTCAGCGCCAAATTCGCACGGAGCGTTTACGTATGTGAAGCAGCTCCGCGATAAATCTCCTTGAGAAGCACACGCGCAGACGGTAAAATTTATTTTCCTCGGACTTTCCACCTATATAGATGTGCCTACGTGTATACGAAGGTGTATTTGTATGGTACTCGGTGTTCGATCGATTCGCTTATTTAGCAGCCGAGCCAGCACTTCTGATCCATACTATATACGCGAACGAACCCATGGAAAAAAACGTTGGTGCGGGAATTCGAAAAAATTGAAGTTAAATTTTTGGTACTTCTTTGAGGCTTTGAGGTGAAAAATCGTGTATTCGAAATGTAGGTTCAATCCAGGTAGTTTATGGGAAAAAATTCAATGTTTTCCAACCATTTTTTTAAAACGATTCAAAAAGTGTATAGCATCGGCTTTACAACACGTCCACGATTTTGTTTGACATTAATTTTTTTCCAGAGATACCCAAAAAACGATTTTTCTGCAGAGTTGTTGGTATACATATATACGTGCACGTCCGACACGTGGGTATATTGGTTGCCGAGCTTCTGTACTATATACCGATGGTGCGGGAGCTAAAAGAGTACATAGACGCGGATGTACAGATAAAAATTCGATCAGATGGGTATCACAAACGCGACCTAGACACCGAGTAGATGTATACCGCAGAGATACGCGCATGTGCCAATTTATATGACTACCTCCACGGAGATGGATACGACTATTGGATTGAGAATATGTATTTCTGGTCCAGTTGCTTCCTTTTTTTTTCACGTGCTGCAGAATTTATACGGTTTCAGAGTACATATTCCTTCCTCCATTTTTTTTGTATACGTTTGCGCGAGTGGAGGGCTTTGTCTGCGTAATGTAAAAAAAAAATTAAAAAAAAAAAGGTACGAAAAAATACAACACACTTGTTGCAATGATGTATATATTTCGCTTTTTAGTGGATGGAATAAAAAGTACATTTGCCTTACTAAGAGGAATTAAGACATTGTAGCCAACAATTACCTCTTAGCATCCCTGGAGAACAAAGTTGTACACGTTCAATTAGCAAAATGAATGAAAATAAAAAAAAAAGTAGCTATGATTATTATTATTTCTCGAGTATACACTGCTTTATCCCGAGATGCAATGAAAGTACAATTGATCAAACTTATCGGCCCAAAGTATGTAAATGGAACATCGAGAGCGGGTAAAATTTAATTATTCGCAGTCGAAGCCAGAAAAGGAGTCTGTCCATGAATATTATCCAAAACATTGAGTTAGCGCTTGCATCCGAAAGAGGGAAGGTTCAGGATACGTAACATATGTACACACAACCGTGTAAGGGCAAGTCCCGGGACGCGAGTGGAGAAAACCCCTCGCGGCGCCAAAGTAGCTCCGTCAAGTTGAAGCGTCTTTCGATAATGAGCTTTAATTAACTTTGCCCGGTAGGGGTTAAGTACACACGACCGGGCGTTTCTCGAAATTCAGCGCAGGTGCATAGGCGTGTGCGGGTATTTTCCATCCATCAAAGAGAATAAGCGAAATAGACGGACGCGCGTAGGAGGAAGCTGCGAGGCGGGGCGAGAGGAAAAATAGGGCCAAAGCCGCATACCCGCGTTTTGCGAAACACGTGTGTGCAAGGCCGGGAGGGATTAATTAGGTCAGGGATCACTCGTGCATGTGCGCCGAGGTGACCCAGTCCCCATTTTTTCTTCGACTTCGTACACCCTCTGCGCCGTTTTCCTTCTTCGGGCGATTTGCGTGTACTCGGCGACAACGGCCGAGGGTGTCACGTGCGAGCCGATTTTTCTCGCGTAGGCGAACAACAACAACAACAACTTACTCTTATTTTTTGTCTCGCTGAAAGGGAGTTGGCGCTTCAACGGACGTCGGACTTGTTAGTTTGTTCGGGCCTCTCTCCCCCCCCCCCGCTGCTTACGCGATTAAACTTTCGCGCGAAATCAAATTTAACTTTCTGTAACAAAGTAAGTTACTTTTGTGCGCCGCAGCTGCTTCCAACGTCGTCGTCGCCATCGTCTTTTCATCGCGTATGGACGCCGGCGACGACGCTCAGCTTTAATCGAGTCTCCATATATGTATAGTGTATACGAGCTTACCCCCTCCCCCTTCCGTACAAGTATGTATGCGTAGAAAAGACCTGTACACGAGGATTCGGTTGTTGCACCTTTGAAAACACATCGGGCCGGCCCGCACGAAAGGTCTTAGCTATGCCGCGCGCTACGCGGACCTGTACTACTTGTCGAGCGGTACTGTTATACGTTTCGTTTACTTGCTGGCTTTTTGATTGCACTCGTGAGTTTATTATATTTTTTGCTTTTGTTTCAACGATGGCGAATTTGACGTTTGTACATGTACGGACCTATAGTGTCACTTGTCTGCCATTGTTCGTTTAAAATGCAAGTCGTCTCGAGAGGAGAAATGCGGCTGCAAGTCGACTTGGAGGAAGGAAGGAAAAGTCGAAAAAAAAAAAGGGTCAAGAGGTGAATTAGATAGGTGACGGCAAAAAAAAAAAAAAAGTAGGGAAGCACTAACTGCAATTGAGAGGGGAAAAAAAAGAGAGACAAAAATACACTTAACAAGGTATCGCACTTGGCCGAGCTCGCCCATATACGTATGTAGTTTTCTCATCAACGGTATTGTATCGTCTATATACACTTTTGTAGTGGCTTTTTCAATGGTTGTACACGATATACAGTACGGACGTTTTCTATTTATATTTCTCTTTCATTAGCAGCATTTTACGATACTCCCTATGTACATAACGTGCACAATTGTCCTTTCGATCCCAATAAGCTCTGCCAGAGTATAAATTAAAGGTACATCACGGCAGGTAGCGATGTCTATTTGTATGAAAAAAAGGTAGATGAAAACGGAGAGCAAAGAAACAGTAGCTCATTGCCATGGGTATTGTTCCTGTACACGCGCGCCTTATTTCCCTCCTTCTCCTCAACCTCTCATTATGTACATACAGCGCACCAGCTCCCGTTGTTGCGTGAAATACGCCGACTCTTACACTCTCGCGCTGCCTCCTTTCTCCACGTACACACATACATATACAACACAGCACACACAACTCCAGTCCCGACGTACATAGCTGGCTCTCATTATTCTCTCTCGTTGTTGTTTTTCGTTTCCGCGATTCTTTGAAAGCCCAGCCTCTGGGCTCTGTGTGTTCTCACTCGACTCGCGACTCCTGAGTCGCCCGCGCGCTTTGACTAGCGAAACGAGCCGGCGCACAAAACTAACTTTGGTTCTTGCGTCCGATGCCGAGTATTGTTCGGAAAGGGAAGTCGTGCTTATTTTTGGTTTGTTTGTTTTTTTTTCTTCCTCCTATTGTTTCCCATACGGTTCGCCAACAGAGCCACTACGAGTCATTTGTAAAACGAAGGAAAAAACCAACTCACCGTAAGTCATTTTGGCGGCCAAGTTGAGCTCGCACTCGTGCCGGGTCTTGTAGGTGTAGGGCTCGGGCTCTCCGGGACACCAGAGCACGGGGTGGCCGCAAACGCACCTGCCGGCATCCTGCGGTTGGCCGGTCTCGGCGTCGCTCGTCGAACCCTCGCCCAGCAGATTGCAGCCCCGCTCCGACAGCTTCGGCACGAAGGGACAGTGCCGTCTCGTCCTCCCGGGGATTTCTATGCAAGGAGATTACAATTTTTATCCTCACTGAGATTTGTGTTTCATGAAGAAAAAAAAAAAAAAAAAAAAATGTATGCATATGTACAAACGTATACCGATACGCGCGTTGATTCCCGGCACGTTGGCGTATGCCGTATGCAAATAATCGAGCGGCGAACGGCAATACCTAGTGGCCCGAAAGAGAGACGGGAGGGAGGAAAGTTCGCTCGTACCGAATGTTATGCAGATTCGCGCGATTATCGAGGCAACAGACGACAACTGTACGACACGCAGTTAGACCCGTGTTTCGGTAAATAATTTATTCCACAAGAAGCTCGAGGACTCCCGACTCTTTTTTTTTTTTTTTTTTTTTCTTTCTTTTTCCTGTCTCCAGCGCACTTTTTTGCACTTTTTGTACGTGTATAGACGAACGACTGGAGGTGAGACACGGGACGAAGAGAAAAAGTTGTTTTAATTTGCTCTCGATTATGACGGGAGCGATGCGCTACTGTGTCCAGCTTCTGATGGACCTATAAATGTACACGTTGCAAGGGTTGTTTCGGAAAAATGGAGGAATGCGCCCAAAGGAAACTACATGGACCAATGTGGAGCATCGGAGCTTTGCGCGTGCGAGGCAAAAAAACGTAAAAATACCCGAAACAGCGCGCATCGGACAGGGAAAAAACAGCGGGCACGTGCCATCGGTAATAAGGTGGATGCGTGTTACAACAGCCACGGCTCCTCGTTGTCAGCCTCTGCTGGGCTTGAGCGCAGTCAACAGCAGTGTATTAACGCGTAGATCAAGGAGACAAAAGGAAAGGTGTAGCTGCAGATGAGATTTTCAAACGTGGGACGTCAGTACATATACTTCAGCCTCTCCCCGGCGGATTATAACGCTCGCGTAAATTACGAGCCCGAGAAGATGACGCGCAGGTGCGGATGAAGTTTACCGTGGGAACTGCGTTGTTATATATTCTGTTGTAGCCGCCTACAATTGCAAATTTACGCGTCACGGGTAATCTCAGCCTCGATTGCTCGTCAGATGTGTTTGGGGATTTACTTTTTCCCTCCCAAGTATTCGATTATTCAAACGTTTTTTTTTTTTTTTTTTCTATTTAAATTTTAATATACTGCAGGGGCAAGTTATGCATGTGCACGGGATTGGCGGCTCGATGGGAAGTTGCTCCAGGAAGCCCTACTCGAGAGACGACTTTTCACCGGGCACATAACGTATCGTACATTAACTGGAGCAACCAGACGACCCATCGACTTGGAAACGTCGCAGTTCGTTAGCTGAATAAGTATACGTATCAACGACTTTGGATTCGCGAGGATGTTTGTTCGTGACGCGTGACGCTTCAGCTCACCCGTGATTTACTTATTTTCGCGAGGCGGTGCAGGTATACCTGTACGTCTGTGTGTAAATAATTAATAGCCCGTGTGATTCATTAAATATTCCGAGCAACTCGAGCCGGGACTTTAACTAGAGAAATTCGCGTCAAAGGCCGCGTGCACGTAAAACTGCTTGCTCGGTTACTTCAACTCTAACATAGAGCTCTCACTCGAACTCTTCCGAGCCCTTCTTGGGAACATGTTCAAAGAGACGGAGGGCAAGTAGGTTTTTTTTTTCGTGTAAAATATTTATAGGCAACTCTCGCGTCTTTTCAGCATTAATAGCAGCCTAGAGTTGCAAAACTGGTCAACTAATTATGCTTTAACGAGTTTATTTGAGAAAAGCCGGTGACGGCAAACTTTTTTGCGACTATAACTGTAAATAAACATATATATGTACGCGGGGTCAAGGATTTTCTTTGAAAGAAAAAAAAGCAGAGCTAGCCAAAACTAGGACGGATTTTTTAATGGTCGCCAAAATCTTGTTTCAAAGTGTATAGCAGGGATTTCTCAGCACGGGTCCGAGAGAAGCGGTACGCCGGGAGGACTCGTCTTTAATTTCATGCGTATAATATACGTACGTAAGGTATACGGACAAAGGGGATGGAGGGCGGCCGGAGTTCGCTCCAGTTATCTCATGGGTTCCTCGTAAAATATATAGCCATTGGCTATGCAACGGAGGCGATACCTTACGGCCCCCCTCCAGTTAAACGCTTCGAATATTCCGGATTTCCTCCCCCCTCTTTTCCAGCTCTCCTCTGCTGGCTCCATCGCGAAGAAAACGAGCATCGCTCGCGCGTATCTCACTCGCATTGCTCGAATACCCTGGCACGAGCTTCGAGATTTTACGCGTACACGAACCCCTTACACATCAACGGGTGTTTTTTGCGCCACGGGGAAAATAATTTTTTTTTTTTTTTTTTTTTACCAGGTAGGAAGCTTCGAGGTGTATAAATGAGGTCCTTCCGTTTGTCCTTTGACCGGAGCGTCGGCGCTAAACACGTTGCTTTTGCATTCGAGTGGTGGTATTTGGTTTGCTCTTTGGTTTCGAGGGAAACGTGAGCGTTTAATTGGATCGAGCTTGTTTTTTTTTTTTTTTCCAACTAGTTTTTGCGTATACGGGGCTGAGATTATTGCCACGAAAAAAGACATGCTACGGAGTACTTTTGCCAGGGGGAAAAAGTTGGCTTTCCTTTTTTCTTCTTTGCGGGAAAAAATGTATGAAGAACTACACCCTTTTCCACTCCATCTGACAAATTGAAACAATAAATACGCGGCTGATGCGGGAGTGCTCGTGATACACCGCGCGGAAGCAAGACGGGGGAGGGGGGGGGAAGGGTACGTACAGACGTCGAGCTCTGCATGTACTTTTCGCTCGTTCATAGAAAAAAAGCTCGGTAATGGCAACGGAGAAAAGTTTTCCAGCCGCGGTGGGTACAGGGGGAAACGCGTTTTTGAAAGAATATCTCTTGCTCTGCTTTTCCTGAAGTTTCGCGTTACACACACTCTCAGCTTCTTTTTTTTTTTTTTTTTTTTTTCTTCCCTTCGTTTTAATAATTCTTTGTGTGTGCATATACGAGACACGAGTAAAGTACAAAAGTTTTTCAGAGTTAATTGCGCTACGCCGTAAGTGTATAAGTACAGTACGTACATCCAACTTGACGGATACAAATTTCCCTGGGCATTAAAGTGCACGAGGAAATTTTTAAATTTCATTTCGCCCGCAATCCATTCTGGATGTAATGTTTGCACTGCCTCGTTTTGTATGTACTTGTTTATCAAACAAAAAAACAAAAAAAAAAGTTTCGTCAAACGACAATATTGTCGAAGATGCACAACAACGCGAATCTTCCGGTAAATAGAGGCGATCGATGCATCACGAAAAAAAGTAAACGACACGTATGTACCTGCGATCGTGCTCTTCTACATACGCGCGAAACAGTTCAAACGGATCACAGGGAATTTAAATTGAAATCAGGATGAAGGTAAAAAAAACATCTTTGTACACCTACACTGGCGCCTTCGCTTTCGAAATACACAAAAAAAGGGGCATACACGGACGTATATCTGTATACAGCTCGCGGAAGTTTGTCGCGTTCGGCTCCTTTTTTTTTTTTTTTTTTCTTTAATGCGAAGCTCGAGCGCGCGGGGCGCAAATACCCGCCAGCTAAACTAATTTACTCGCACGGGTATATTTACCCGATCCTCGGCTAGTGTGTCCAGCTATATATACATATAAGTGTACAGGTGGTGGTGGTTCATCCGTGTATACCGACCTTCTCGATGATATTCCATGAATACGGAATGTGTGTGTATACGCGCGAAGCTGAGAGGGACTTGCCCCCCCTCCCAAAGTACACACACGAACGCAAGGGTGATGGTGGTGGTGGTGGTGGCTGTACAGCGAGCGAATAGGAGATACACTTGGGGTAAGCTCGTCTCGGAAATATCGTTCGGGACGCGCGTGCAATCTCTCGCTCGTGACGTTATGTACGTATACGCGCAATCCCGGCCCCCACAGTGGCGCAATTCGCGAGATACACACCCGTCCTTGCGTTTAATGGAAGCACCACGGCTCCGTTTACCCCTAAGCTCGTCCCCGGCGCAAACGTTACAATAAAGATCCCCCTCGGAGTGTGTAATCGAAATCGCGAATCTCGAGAGAGCTGCTTCTGGGCACGTACGGATGCTTCCTTTGCAGGAAAAAAAAAAAAAAAGGAAAAAGAGTTCCGAGGCAAAGGGATGATGATGATGATGATGGTCGCGTGTATCATTCACCATAGTTTGTTGACTTACTTGTGCAGATGCCCTCGTCGACGGCCGAATCACGGGGATGCGGGACGAGATTCTTGATCAGGCACTGCAGCCCGACGGCGCACCTGCCGGAGAACCCGAACAAGCCGCCGCACGGCTCGCCCTCCACCCGCGCGCACACTCGGCAGCATCTGAAAGCAAAACGAAGGGGGCATTTCGGGGGTTACTGCATGTCCACTTATTATACGTACAAGGGGGGGGGGAGGGAGACATTTGTTAATTGGAAAGATCGCATCGGGGCCGGATAAGGCTTGTCGAATGCGCGTATACATATAGGTATATAGACTCGGGGATGAGAGTTTTATACGCGGCGGCGAGCGGCAAAAGTAAGCGAGGGGAGGGCAAGCAAAACGCGAGAGATAAGCGCCCCGAGCTTTTTGAAGTTTAATTGAGGGATCCGCTCTCGAGAGGAGGTACAGGTATACATAGGGACCCGCGCTCTCTCTCTCTCTCTCTCTTGGTAAGCTAAACATCGGTTGGCTGATTTTTTGCTCCGTGATTCTGGTCTCCGTACTGCCGCTTTGTGCCTTCGGGCGTGTTTGTTCCAGGTCGGTTGCATGCCTCCTTACTGCAACTCCTGTTGAGAGCGTTATCTCCGGGAGAATCTGCAGATAACTGTCCGCTGAACGACGATTCGTTGTTCTAACCTCCAAACCGTCTGAGACAAACTACGCTCCACTGACTGCAATATGGCTTCTGATGCTGAGGATGAACTCTTTGAGAACCCACTTGAAATTTCTCTGTTGTCGGCTAAAGATGTTCGTGAGCTTCGTACCAAAATGACCTCCATCCGTGATGTTCTGCTATCCCAGCTGTCCACAGAGCGAGAGACACCAAGGAAAAAAGAATTGCGTGACGCGATAAATGGCTTCTCTGACATTTTTAGTACACTTGAAAGTGCCTATCTTAACAAGCTAGCTATTGACAATGTTACAAACTCTTGTTCTAGAGTACTCAAGGTTGCGTGCTCGAGGGTAAATGAAGCTGTCTCTGCTCTCAATGATGCGTCCAAAACTACGATACCAATCAAGACTGGAGCTACCTATGCCGATAAAGTGGCTATGCCTGGAGCTAATAATCGTGTGCTATTGCACAAAAATAAGTCTATCCCGATCTCCCAGTCGAAAAGGGTCATTCTTGGGCCTCGTCCAGATGCTGCAAATAGATTTGGTTCTTCGCAAGAAACAAAAAAAGCTATTCTAAATGCTGTTAAGCCTGTTGACATGTGTCTAAAGGTTAATCGATTTACTTTTTTGCCAGGCAGTTCAGTAGCTGTTGAGGGTGAAGCTCTTGAGTCATTAAGTAACTGCAACGAACTTAAGATGATAGGCCTCGAAGTCAAGGAAGATATCAAGCTTGATCCTCGGATCATCATTCATGATGTTCCAGTCGATTATACAAAAGAAGAGCTTTGTGAATATATCATAAAGCAAAATCTTCCAACCTGTGCTCCAGATGAGCTTAAAATACTCTACATGTATCCAGCTCGTGACAAGAGGCTCCGATCTTGTATCGTTCAGCTCAAACCTAAGCTCAGAGCACAATTGTTTTCTACGGGTCGCATCTTCATTGGATGGCACTCATGCAGGTTTGCTGACCACATCTCTCTTCTCCAATGCTACAGATGTTTAAAGTTTGGGCATATAGCAGCCAACTGCAAGGGTAGTGTTTGCTGTTCTTATTGTGCTGGAAGTCATGAGTCTAAGGCTTGTGAAACAAAAGACACGTTATGCTGTATCAATTGTCGTGAAGCTAAATCTCTCAGCTCGGCTCATAATGCTACTGACAGGTCGAAGTGTGTGGTTTTAAGGAAAAAGATTGAGCGCAAAGTCTCGTTGACCAATTATAATGATTAATTTCACAATTGGCCATATAAATGCGCAATCTTTACTAAGACATTTCGACGATGTGCACGAATTAATTTCTATTCATAAACCACACATTTTTGGAATCAGTGAGACTTTTCTCAAGCCCGACAAACCCTCTACTTTGGTTAACATACAGGACTACTCGTTCTTCCGCTGTGATAGGCTACCTGCAACTAAAGGAGGTGGTGGAGCTGCCCTGTATGTGCACAATTCCCTAAGAAGTAAGCTTGTGAGCTGTTCAGTTCAGGGTGAAGCTTATTCGAAGAAACCTGAATTTTTACTAGTTGAGATCCAGACTGCTTTGGAAAAATTTCTCTGCGCCACTGTTTACAATCCCCCCAAGGCTGGCTTTTGGTCTGAGGTTGAAGAAGCAATCATGAATTGCAACTCATCTTTTGACCATCTTATTTTGATGGGTGATTTAAATCTTGACTGGCATGTCAAGTCTACAAGCGTAACTATTTTCAAGGAGTCTCTTCAAGTACTAGGACTCCACCCTGTTTCTTATGGTCCCACACACCATACTGAAAACTCCAGCTCAACCATTGACTATATATGCTTATCTGAGCAAGTAGACATCGAAAGCTTCTTTCAGTTTGAGGTATTTTCTATCTCTAAGCATGATGCCATCTTTGTCAAACTAAAACATGCTGTACCTTCTGCTGATGCTTCAGTTATCACTCGCCGTAATTTCAAGTCTTTTAATCGTGATGAGTTTCGAGAAGACTTAACTGCTGCTTTAAAAAATATTAACCCTGATGGATTCCCAGAGCACAAAGTGGCTGCTCTGACTACAGCACTTTCTAGCCTCTATGATAAGCATGCACCCTATGAAACAGTTACAAGGAAACGCAGGCCATTACCCTGGATAACTCCACATCTCAAATCTGTCATCAGGGATCGTAATAGAGCTTGGAGAGACTATAAACGCACACCCTCGAACGTCACCCAGGTAGCATATAAACAGATCCGAAATAGAGCCCAAATTGAGATGAGAAACGCTCGACATGCATATTACTATAACAGCATCTGCAGGTGCAAATGTACCTCCCAACAGTGGAAAGTGATCAACGACCTAGGCCTCACAAAAAAATCTGATACTCCTAAGGTGAACATCCCGTTTGACTTGGATGTTGCCAATCGTCACTTTGTTGGTAAAACCAGCGTCACTCCTCTGTTCGATGTACGTCGTGGTATTTTTCCAAGAATTGATCCGGATCAAAGGTTTTATTTTCGCCATGTGACTTTTGACGATGTACGTACGGCTATCTTGTCAGCACGTTCCAATGCCATGGGTTCTGATGGGATACCTCTCTGCTATTTTAATAGTCACGTTGATCTCCTGGCAACAACACTAATGAGTATATTTGATGCTTCTTTCCAATCCAGTACGTTTCCGGAGGCCTGGAAAATTGCTCTTGTTCGGCCTATGCCTAAGAAATCTGGTGCCAAGGACTTAAAAGATTTTCGACCTATAAGTATCCAGCCAGCTTTAAGTAAAATCTTTGAATTTATAGCCTATAAACAACTCATGGAGTATATTAATTCTCGCGACTTACTATGTACTAATCAATCTGGGTTTCGTGCTGGCCATAGCACGCAGTCTGCTCTCACTAAAATAGTTGACGATATTCGGGAATTCTCTGACAATCATGAAATTACGTTACTGGTCTCTATTGATATGTCACGCGCCTTTGACGCTGTAAACATTAACTTACTCTGCGAAAAGCTTGTATCTTTCGGACTGTCTGACTCGGCTTGCAACTGGATAAGATCCTACCTAACTGGTAGGTCCCAGATCGTAATTGACTCTGAAGGACGTGCTTCAAAACCGTCTTTAAGAGTAAGTGGAGTCCCGCAAGGCTCAATATTAGGGCCGTTGCTCTTTTCATTATTTATAAATGATCTCCCAGATGTCTGCGACTGCTCGTATCATCTATATGCTGATGACTTCTGCTTCTATGTGCATGGCCCATTGTCTCAAGCCCACGAAGTTGTTGATAAGGCTAATCGTATACTGGACAATATATGGGTCTGGTCTGACACCAATGGGTTGTACACAAATCCTGAGAAGTCGCGTGCAGTTTGGTTGGGTACACGAGGAACACAAGCCAAGCTCTCCAATTTAGCTATTCCTGACATCAAACTTAAAAACTCTGTCATAGTGCCCAGTGATACCATGAAACTCCTGGGTGTAACTCTGGACTCCAACCTTACGTTTAGGCCTCATACCATTGAGGTAGCTAAACGATGTTTTTCTGCCCTTGCAAGACTACGAAGGAATGCCTACTTCTTACCAGTGAAAACTAAGCTTATGCTAGTCAAGTCGTTAGTCTTCTCTATTCTCGAGTACTGCCCTGCTTTGCAGCTTGGTTTGTCTAGTGAATTAAAAACTAAGCTAAGTAGGTGTATGAATGCAGCTTTGCGATTCGTGGTAGGCATCAAGAAATCCGACCACATATCACCTACCTATCGACGCTTTAAGTTATTGGCATATGATGTACGAATCAAATATCTTACTCTGCGCTTTCTATCCACTATGCTGAAATCAAGACAGCCGGCATATCTTGCGAATTACCTAAAGTTCAAGATCCCAGAAAGAACAGGTGTAAGAACGTCTCCTCTGGATCTGAATGTGCCCTCAGCAAGGATTGACTTCTACATAGCTGCTTTTAGAGTGGGTGCGTTAAAGCTCTGGAACAAGCTACCGACTGGCATCCAGGCGTGTTTTGCGAGACCTTGTTTTGGCAGCAAGCTCTACGAGCTTCTTCTTGATCGACCTAATTATTTAGATTAGATAAGCATCTGTGTTTTTTATGTGTGCCTGTGATATCGAGGACCAGTGATCTCAGCTATTAGTATTTTACTACCACAATAGTCTACGTATTACCTATTAGTTTTTACTTTTTGTAATATTTTTGTAATGTTTTCTTTTTACTCTACTTTTCTCTAACGAATTTGTTATATCTTATAACAACTATTATTTATTACTATTACTTATTTTAATTTAAGTATTTATTCTCTATATTATATATATTTAAGTTATAAGCAATTTTATGTATTAGAGCGCTACCTGCTCTAAACTTTGTCAGCTTGTACCTAGCTCTGGCTATTATGGACCCTGAGTCCTTAGCTATTTAATAAAAATCTAATCTAATCTAATCTAATCTCTCTCTGCACTTTGCTCCCGAGTGCAGGTTATATATAACACAAGTAAGAAGGGTACTTTGGGAAAGGGAGGGGTGGGTGGTGGTTTTTCATCGTGTTTTCGTGCATAAGCTTTGCCGATAAGCTTCAATTACAACAATAGCCCGCTTGCCTTACTCTCGACTCGTCCTGTCATGATTGATGGCGCGTCCGAGGATTGTCCGAGCGACGCGCAAAGGAATCAAAAGAGCGGGAAAAAAGTCGAGGATACGATAAATGGGAGCTCGCGTCGTCTCAATTAGCGCTTAATCCAATCTCGAGGTATGTGGAGCCCGAAAAAAGAAGAAGAGAAGGGCAATACAGTGGAGAGCGCTAGTCCAACGGGGGGGGGAGGTTTTTCCTCGTCCGGTTGACGTCTCAACGCAATTTCTCGAGAGCGTATGGAAGCCAACGGTTGCGCAGCTCCGAAGGGAGACACGAGCGGAGGGAGGAAAAAAACTCGGGTCAAAGAGGACGGGGTGCGAAACGGGGGGGGGGGGGAAATCAACAACAGGTACGCGGGCGGAAGGACAGGAAGGAAGGAAAAAGCGAGGGAGGACGGGAAAGGGGACGATTCCGAATGTTATGTATTTCTCTCCCTTTCATTGCTCCGGTGCTTCTTTTCACACTGCGACGCATATATATACGTACAAGTCTGATCTATTCGCTTTGTATATGTTGTTGCTTTTTTTTACTGGTGCATCCATAGAGTTGGTGTTTATTTTTTATTTTGTTCCGTTTTGACAGAGAATATATAATTATGTTGAACCGCGTGATTGTTGGACGAGATTTTAATTATAAAATATGCGCGACAGCGGAAACGATTTAGTGAATATGACGTGATAACTCACGAATCCGTATTTGAACGATAGGTACATAAAAGGTTTGTTTGACGAAGGAAGTAACCTCGTTCATCCGAAACGCGACACATCCAACTTGTACATAATTATGTGCCTTTCCAAACGCACGCGTCACCGATTTCAACGAGAATACGTTATCGGGGGAAAAACGGTCCGCACGTAGGTGTACTCGCGGTGAATTATTTACCTATATCCTCTTTTTCTTGTGCAAAAAACGCGAACGTAGTAAAAAAAAAAAAAAAAAAAAATCGAGTGTTTATACATGCTCTTCATAAGTAATGAACGGAGCCGGTGGGTATATTCGGGTTTTATATACCTGATAAATCTCTTCCTCTAAACGGACGAGGATTTTCGGGAGTACACGCTAAAAGAAAAGAACGTTTCACGGCTTCCGCTCCCTTTTTTTATTCGCTCCTCTCTTGTACCCCGACGCAACACGGCACTGAGTTTTGGAGGATAGTTTTTCCGTGGAGGCTCGTCGCGTATACAGAGTTTATAACGTGTATACAGGCGTACCGGCGCGTAAAACCTCGACACTGTAATGGAGGTGTGTGTACGTAGTAAGTACCGCGGCTTAATTATCCTGCGTGTCCTCCCCAATACGGTGTGTGTGTGTAGGGGGTGGTGTGAAAAGCAACGTATAGGAGAGGATGGGTGGCATGAATGGGAAGTGCAAGCACCGGTTGGGTGTGACAGAATAAAGGGCGCACACCGTGTATAGCATACATGTACTGTTGATACACCGCACCAACTCATACCACTGGTTTCATTATACCCTTTCATGGCGCGATTTGCGAAAAAACGATCCTATACATTGTTGCTTTTGTCAAGCGGGGGATTATTCTTTCGAAATGATTAAGGCAACATTACATTTTTTTTTGTAACATTTTTGCGACAATTGCCTCAATCCGTACTTTATGTTATTGCAAATGGATCGATGTGGATGATTTGTGGATTTTTCCAGTACTTGGAATACTAACAAGTAGTTGTGATACCATTAGAGTAGATATTGTCTTTTTGTCCGATTGGAAAGAAAAGAAAAAACGGATTTTTAAAAAATTCACTCTGATATAAAATATGAAATGTGGGCTGTTTTTTCCTCTTGCATACAATTATTGTAAAAGCTTTATTAATCGAAGGAAAGCATACGCGTTTCGAGGTCACTGAATTCAAATCGAAAAATTCGGTGAACAAAAATCTGTTAAAAAAAAAAAAAAAAAAAAAAAATGTATGCATATGACCTATATATACCAGTGACGGGTATACACTCGCGCGAAAAAGTATGNAAAAAAAAAAAAAAAGTCTTTAAAACGATCATGGCAATACTTCACGACGGCAAGACAAAAAAGAGTACCTCGATCCTACTTCAGAAGAGATAGTATAATATTTAGAAAAAATAATAGCTCGTTATTTAACATTTCATAATTAACGAAGGGTCTCTTGAATACAGATAGCTCAAGCGTAACCCATGAAATTTTCATTAGTCACGTTATAAGCGTACTTACGCAGTAACTGTGCTCTGAGAATTTGTAATACGAAAGTTACGATAAGCTAAAATTATCAATCTGTAATCTCTTTACGTCACGTTCTATTATTCAGACAATTCTGCAAAAATGTGGTAACGGTGGAATCTCTAGACGACCTATTTTCCATTTGTAACGTGCGACGGTACTTAACTTGATAAAAAAAAAAAAAAAAAAAAAAGGATTCTCGGGTATCTTCACGGATCGACGGATGCAGATGTACCATTCAAGTATTACGTGCTTCGTTTTGTAATATCTTCTCTAGTATATTTAAAAGCTCTTTTGAATTTGTGTAATGAAGATTTATATGTTCGAGTTATTTTGAAACTCTTTTGCTCAGAAAAGTGTAAAATTTACGAGGTAAAAGTATAAAGAGCACGTGTAGTTTTTAATACGCAACTTTTGGAGGAAAAAAAAACCGCAAAGTTACTTCATCATGCAGCATATACTCTTTCTCTTTGTAATTCGTAATTAATGTATACTGTTACAAACGTGCATCACAGAGAAAAATTACTTTTTTAATTTAAAACTTTTTTTCAAGTAATTTAGCAAATGTATGTGCAACATTTGTAGTATTAGTATTATGTTTTGTATCATTTTAATGCACTTTTTCCTAACTCTACAACCAATGTATATAGGTACAATGCATGTTTTCTGCTCACTAGTATCACATAACCCTTCTATGTGTATTATAATCATTTGATTGAAATTACAGCAGAAACTTTAGATAAATTTGCATTCAATAAGATTATCTACTTTACCAAATTAAATATTTCAATGACTATGTATTTAGCTATGATTTACATTTTTACATGAGATTACCAAAGAGATAATGATAAAAGAAAGAAAGAAAAAAGCATCAAGTGGATGCACACCCAGGAATGTTATTATTTCTGGCTTCTTGCGGTTAATTCATCTAGTCTTGAAACCATTGAAATTCAATAAGCAAAACTACTCAAAAGTACAAAACTGAAAGAAAAAAGTCACAGACAGATTTAGAGAACATAAAAAATGAAAAAATTGAGCCGAGCAGAAGCCAGCCAAGGTACGGAGAAGGGAGTGAGGTCGTGCACGTGACTCACTTGCAGGGATCCCAGGTGAGTCCGCCGGGGCAGTCGTCTTTGGTGAGTGGGTCGCACTCCAGGGGCGAGCAGACGCAGGACAGGGCCCTCGCGACCGCGACCGAGAGGACGACGATGCCCCCAAGCAGCACAAGCGGTACTCGCATTGCTACCTGCACTCACCGCTCAGCGTTTCTCTCTATTTCTGATGTCCTCTCGCCTCTCACTTCACACTCAAGTAAGCATTTTCCCGACTGCCCTTGTGCAGCCTTTGCCACGAAAGATTTATACTATACTACCTGAACAAAACCACAAACAATTACTTCAAGCGTCCAAAACGTGTTCAAAAGAATTTACAAGCACCGAGTTTAAGATGTGTGTTACGAGGAGCCTTGGCGCGCGCGCGATTTGCACCACCTCCGGACTGCTGAACGAACGCGCACTGATGCGACGAGTGCCGAGACGAGCAAAACATCCCCTCGCGCGACTATATATAGCTCCGTTACCGCGGCAGTCGCGCGCGCACCGATTCTCTCCTACCGATGAGCAGCAGCCACCCCCTAACCTCTTCTCTCCTCCTCACAAAGTACAGTTTGCTGTATAGGTATATACATGGCTTGCTCGGCTTTTCTTTTCAACCCTCTCGAGGTATGTATCGCGTGTATCCTACTTACTTATTTTCGATCTTTTGCTGCACTTTGGTATACTTATTTCGCTTCTTGCTCTCTAAATTTAGGTCAATGTAATAATATTTCATTAAATTCACGGGAAAATTTTCCAGTTTCAAAGAATCAAACGATGACTATTGTTTTGGAGAGTTAAAAACATCGTTTTACTTGCTCGATTTGTTTTCATTCAATTGGCTGCGAAAAGAGCTCTAGTGAAAAATATATTCGAGTATTTGTCAAAAAATCGGCAAACATTTCTGAAAATCACTTATTTCGGGTGCGATTTCACAGGACGATAGGACACGAAACGCGCAATAGGAAAAATAGGAAAATAGGAAAATAGAGAGGGGTCTCTTTGGTACAACGATACCTACATCTCCCTCTCTCTTACGGGCTCTCGAAAGGCGCATGTAATCGCGCCATTACGCATCTTTCCGCCAAGACCCAGTGATGGCGATGTCAGCATTTTTTTGTACTCTAAAAAATAAAATAATTTGTTAAGAATTTTGTCTTTAAAACATTCTATTGTACATTGGGAGTTTTCTATAAAATTTTCACTTACTAGACTTTGAGTAATGTGTCAATCTCGCGGGAGAAGATAAAATTTGTGTAATCAGATCTTTATCAAGCATGAATGTTGTAAAATTATACCTATTCAAGCTTAAGTAATAATCACAATTTATAGAAGTAAACAAAATTTTTATTATAAAATTTCTGCCTTTTAAGTTCTTCAAGAAATAAAAATTCTAGTCAAACTTTTACAAATACAAGGCATAATATGACATTAAATTACAAACGATATTAAAAATAAAATCATGCTCGAGAGATTAAAGAGTTGATATGGTTTAAGTTACAATTTCAATTGTATAACTATAAAAATTAATATTATTTTAATGGTGCAAAATCAAAAACAGCAGTTTTAAAGTTTAAAAATCTGCTTACAAAAAAAAGCTAACAAATACCGGGTATATCGAAAATCTTGATGCCAAAAACTCTAACAAAATATTCTTCAATGTAATACACAGCAGAAAAAGAGTGCTTGTATTCTTCAGAACCACTAAAATTATTGTGAATAACTTTAATGATCCTTATAATATCATTTCTAACTGATTTATTGAAAGAAATATTGGAAGGTGATGTAAAAAGTACAAGGTATGATGAGTCTTTAATACCAACTCTCTGAAATTCCGACTTCAGTTTTGATTTGACAAATTCCTCAGGTGGCTATGAAAAAAAAAATTTCTTATTTCAATATACTAAAAGAAATAGGCTGCAGAGAAAGTGACTGAGTTTAAGAATAATAGAAACTCACAGCATTGTAGAACAAGTCAGATGGCCAGTTTTCTGTGCATGCTCTGCAGTGACAGATAAAGCCATAATTATCTTTTAAAAAGTTTTGTCTGATTGTTTTTTCTACCATAATTGGAAAACCATAGCTAGTGAATAACTGTAATTTCAACAGTTTATGACAGTTATAAAAATACAATCACTATTATTCGAGTAAATAAATCAATGAATTAATGAATAATACAGATGTAATCGAGTTTGAATTACCTGTTCTCCTTTCTTGAGGGGTTGTACAGTGTAAAGAAACATTTGACCGTTTTCAGTAAATAAGCGATGAGTGTTATAATTGCAACTATGGTTTAAAAGACTACAGAATGGCGAAAAGAGAAGTCCAAGATTCATTTCTCCACAATTTACTTTACATTCTACTGAAGACATACACAAGCAATTTGGACCCCTAAACTAAATATTTTACTCGATGAATATGACAATTGCCATGAATGTGTAAGATTTATTTTAAATTTTGAAATATTCAGGTTAATCTACCTGGAAAGCATTGAAGTCCACAATAGTCTTCAATTTATAAATAAGATCTGCTGCCAGATCAAAGTCAACTTCAGTGAATGACTTTTCATCGCCAAACATTTTTGTATCATTAACTAGTATACCTAAAACATCTTTGATAAAAGACATCCTGAAGGTGTAAGTAGAAATATCTTTATCTGAATCCATCTTGTAAAATAAGTTGCAGACAGTTTTTAATTTATCACTCTGAAATATTCCGTTATCAAAGAAACCTTCCAAAGAGTTACCTAAGATAAATAAGGTATCAAAGTCATTAAAGGTACAAACGATATAAAGTGTCCTAAATTTGTAAACAAGTAATAAGTTTATTGTGCGTACTCTTGAGGTCGTTCAAATCTTTGCTGATATTATGCCACCCTTCCTTCTTGACTGATTTAATGAATAATCGAACGGCTGCCAGTAATGATCCCATGTTTTGCAGTTTATCATCGACAAGTTTGAGAAACGGAAGAACCGCGCACTCAAAATCATGATACTTAATGAAAGCTTCCTCCCTGCACTTTTCAGAACAGAATACCACGGCTGTACAATGCTCACAGGGTATTCCGTTGCAAGCAAAAGTCAAGCAGTGAGAGCAAATCAAGTAAATCTTGTCTCTCTTGGGATACAGCATGACGCATTTCTCAATGGCGATAATTTGACCAGGCTCTATGTTCTTGGTAGCTACACAGTGTCTTCCATACTCTGAGTTGTGAACCAGGGTGACACAATCGTAAGCACATGGGATGACTTTGGACAGCTTGCCGGCCGCGTAAGACCCGATCCTTTTAACGCCAACGTCCCTGGAGGTGGGCCACGACTCCTCGACGACACTCCTCTTGTTGTCCATGAGCGACATACACTTCATCTTACGAGTCACAAGTTTAAGCTTCAACTCCTGTGACCGAGAGATCCGGCAGGCCCTGTCAATATCGACGAGGCATTCATCATACTTGCGCAAATGGAGCAGGAGGGAAGACCTGTTGCCGTAGGCCATGGCAAGCTCCTCCGAGCCACTTTCGGCCAGGACCACGCTCTGCGTGTACAGGGACAGTATCTCCAGGTGAGTTCCCTTGTTGTGACCTTGGCTTAACAACAGTTCATTGCCTCGCTTACGAGAAGTTGTCGATGCTTCGGCAGACTTTTTCAGCAAACCCTCTTTCATAGCTAACAAAGTATCCTTTCTGATCGAGCAATCCATGATTTCCCGTAGATGGTGGGTAGTATAACCGTTATTGTAGTCAAGGTTCAGTATTTACTAATTCGTAAGTATACAACGATCGAGTCGAGTGATAAAACTCAAGTCAATTTCGACTTGATGCCGCAATCTTGCCGGAAAGCGCAACGTAATAAAATATGGCGTCGAGTGGGCGTGGGCGGTCTAAGTGACGAAATTGGAGGGAACGACTTTAGCGCTATATTCCTACTATTCCTATTCGTCCATTCTTCATACTTACAATCGCATTTTAACAAATGCATATACCTACTTACTGTTTTACTCAGTAACGAGCGTTACAAATAAATGAAAGGAACGTACCGTAACATTTTTTTTGGTCAAGGAGGTTAGTGTTGATGCAATCATGATAAGTACCCTCGTAAGATAGAGTCTCAAATTTTTTTTTCTTCAACTGACGTTAACAGTTTTTATTTAAAAAATGATTCACCGGTAAGGTGGATCGCGTTTAAAAGGTTGTTGCCGTCAATCGAATCGATAAAATAAACGTGTCTGTGAGTTGCGAAAAAGGATAACTAATGTATCATCCATCTGTCCATAGAATTGTATAAACCAATTTTTAAAAACAAGTTGGTTGTGACGTAAAATATTTATTAATCAAAAAAATTTCGGAGGCCTAAAAAAAGATCTTTCATTTCAACATATCGAAACTTTTCATTAAAATAATATGATTCATACGTCTTTCGTAATAATAAAACGGATAATTGTATATTTTTGTTGCTCCATGTACACCTGGAATCTCTTTGCTATGCCATGATATGCAATAGGTACGTGATACTGATATTCGCGACACGATGACCAAACTTTGTCGCTTCCATCCAATGCACTCTAAGTACTGATTCAATTTGACGTCGTTCTGTTGGTGCTGTACTATATACCTACTGTTTCTCATCCTCGTAACAATATTTGTTGGGTTATGGGTGGGTGATTTTGCAATTTTTTTTTCCACCGGAATTCTGATTTTGATTCTTAAAAAAAAATTTTATTTTTTCATTTTTACAAACCCGTATAAATTTTTGCTTTTACTTTTGGTGGTGTCACTATTGAAAGTCCCTTATTTCCTGGAAAAAATACGTTCTGAAAGTGTGGACATAATTTTGATTTTCAAACAGGTTTTCTCAGAAAAATTGATAAAGCCCAAAATGCTCTGTTGTTTCTATACACATAAAATTTACTTCTCTGGAACTGTCGTTTGAAAATTTTTATGAAAACATATCAAATGCGACAACGATACTTATATAAATCATCGCTTAGATTTTATTACTCGGGTACTTTTTCTAGTACAATTTTTGGTGTAGATTAACATTTGTGAATATTTTTAAAATTTAGTTTTCAAAAATCGTCTTGGAAAAATGAAGCGTAGATTTAAAAAACAATTTCACTCATTCTGCACGTACCTAGACATTTTCGGAATTTTTCTCTCAACTTTATGAGCTTTTTACGCAACCCATTTTTCCCACATGAATCATGACAAGTTAATTCAGTTTTTTTCCAGAGCAAGAATACTGAGCTTCTTCTCTTCCAGTTATAAAGCCTTAGGCCATCCAGCATATAATTGTACTCCCGCATTTCAAATTCGTGATTAAAAAAAAAAAAAAAAAAAAAAAAAAAAAAAAAAAAAAAAAAAAAAAAAANTCTTGGACTTATTTTTTTTTTTTCTTTTTTTTTTTTTTTTCTTGACTAACTGCACGAGCGCACAAAGATAAGTACAGCTTCGATTGGATAATGAAGCGGCTATATATACGGGAATCGGCTCGAAATATCATTCAATTCTCCGGTGGAGCACGACAGCAATTATAATCCACCCCCTTTTTAAATCGTTGGCTCGGAGGAGTACCTCGGGTGCAAAAAAAAAGGATGGGGCTTTGATCTATTTCCGTTGGAAGGAAAAGTGCACTCCCGTCCATGTGAGCCCCCCCCCTCTGTATCCTTGAACTCTCGGCCGCAGACGACGCACGAATATAGACCCGTTGAAAAGTTCGAGCCGCTCGTTGGTAATTTTGGATTCGCATCCGGTGCGCCGCTGCTCTCTTTGTTTTCCGCTTTCGTCCTCTTTTTGCATTGCTCCCCGACGAGACGCTCGCGCCGGGATGCATTTAGCCGCCCGAGACTCTCCTCTCGGGGGCCTTTTTCCCCGAGTGTATACTACACATACGCATTTATACTCTCATTTCGTCGGTTTTGCTCGCTAATGACGAAACTGATCCTGCATTGGTGTATTATCGAGCGTGGCTCGGTTTCATCCAGAAAGTCAACGATAAAAGCCAGAAAAAAGGAGCGCGTTTTTATTTTCATCGATGAAGACGCCCGAAAGTCGGCAGACTACTATTGTTGTTATGACTGTTATTATCGTTGTATGCGGTAAACTTGAAAAAGTTCATCGACTCGTCCTTCGAGCCAAGTATATATATTAACGACACTCGTCCGAGCGTTTCGCGCGTAAAGTATAAGTGTAACGCAACGTATATACGGGCTCGCGATAAAATACAAGGTGTTCTCCCTATGGCTCCTGCGCAACCCGTATTCCATGGTATATTATATGCTTTTTCCTCAAATAGATTGCGATCGTGAATAATAATATGTACAAGGGATGAGGTTGACGGCGAGGGGGGAAAAACAACGTTAACTGCGAGCCGTGTGCACTCGATTACCACCTTCTCTCTTTCTCTCTCTCTCTCTCTCTCTCTCTCTCTCTCTTGCAAGTTGCAAGTCATTGCAACTCATCTTTTGACCATCTTATTTTGATGGGTGATTTAAATCTTGACTGGCATGTCAAGTCTACAAGCGTAACTATTTTCAAGGAGTCTCTTCAAGTACTAGGACTCCACCCTGTTTCTTATGGTCCCACACACCATACTGAAAACTCCAGCTCAACCATTGACTATATATGCTTATCTGAGCAAGTAGACATCGAAAGCTTCTTTCAGTTTGAGGTATTTTCTATCTCTAAGCATGATGCCATCTTTGTCAAACTGAAACATGTTGTACCTTCTGCTGATGCTTCAGTTATCACTCGCCGTAATTTCAAGTCTTTTAATCGTGATGAGTTTCGAGAAGACTTAGTTGCTGCTTTAAAAAATATTAACCCTGATGGATTCCCAGAGCACAAAGTGGCTGCTCTGACTACAGCACTTTCTAGCCTCTATGATAAGCATGCACCCTATGAAACAGTTACAAGGAAACGCAGGCCATTACCCTGGATAACTCCACATCTCAAATCTGTCATCAGGGATCGTAATAGAGCTTGGAGAGACTATAAACGCACACCCTCGAACGTCACCCAGGTAGCATATAAACAGATCCGAAATAGAGCCCAAATTGAGATGAGAAACGCTCGACATGCATATTACTATAACAGCATCTGCAGGTGCAAGTGTACCTCCCAACAGTGGAAAGTGATCAACGACCTAGGCCTCACAAAAAAATCTGATACTCCTAAGGTGAACATCCCGTTTGACTTGGATGTTGCCAATCGTCACTTTGTTGGTAAAACCAGCGTCACTCCTCTGTTCGATGTACGTCGTGGTATTTTTCCAAGAATTGATCCGGATCAAAGGTTTTATTTTCGCCATGTGACTTTTGACGATGTACGTACGGCTATCTTGTCAGCACGTTCCAATGCCATGGGTTCTGATGGGATACCTCTCTGCTATTTTAATAGTCACGTTGATCTCCTGGCAACAACACTAATGAGTATATTTGATGCTTCTTTCCAATCCAGTACGTTTCCGGAGGCCTGGAAAATTGCTCTTGTTCGGCCTATGCCTAAGAAATCTGGTGCCAAGGACTTAAAAGATTTTCGACCTATAAGTATCCAGCCAGCTTTAAGTAAAATCTTTGAATTTATAGCCTATAAACAACTCATGGAGTATATTAATTCTCGCGACTTACTATGTACTAATCAATCTGGGTTTCGTGCTGGCCATAGCACGCAGTCTGCTCTCACTAAAATAGTTGACGATATTCGGGAATTCTCTGACAATCATGAAATTACGTTACTGGTCTCTATTGATATGTCACGCGCCTTTGACGCTGTAAACATTAACTTACTCTGCGAAAAGCTTGTATCTTTCGGACTGTCTGACTCGGCTTGCAACTGGATAAGATCCTACCTAACTGGTAGGTCCCAGATCGTAATTGACTCTGAAGGACGTGCTTCAAAACCGTCTTTAAGAGTAAGTGGAGTCCCGCAAGGCTCAATATTAGGGCCGTTGCTCTTTTCATTATTTATAAATGATCTCCCAGATGTCTGCGACTGCTCGTATCATCTATATGCTGATGACTTCTGCTTCTATGTGCATGGCCCATTGTCTCAAGCCCACGAAGTTGTTGATAAGGCTAATCGTATACTGGACAATATATGGGTCTGGTCTGACACCAATGGGTTGTACACAAATCCTGAGAAGTCGCGTGCAGTTTGGTTGGGTACACGAGGAACACAAGCCAAGCTCTCCAATTTAGCTATTCCTGACATCAAACTTAAAAACTCTGTCATAGTGCCCAGTGATACCATGAAACTCCTGGGTGTAACTCTGGACTCCAACCTTACGTTTAGGCCTCATACCATTGAGGTAGCTAAACGATGTTTTTCTGCCCTTGCAAGACTACGAAGGAATGCCTACTTCTTACCAGTGAAAACTAAGCTTATGCTAGTCAAGTCGTTAGTCTTCTCTATTCTCGAGTACTGCCCTGCTTTGCAGCTTGGTTTGTCTAGTGAATTAAAAACTAAGCTAAGTAGGTGTATGAATGCAGCTTTGCGATTCGTGGTAGGCATCAAGAAATCCGACCACATATCACCTACCTATCGACGCTTTAAGTTATTGGCATATGATGTACGAATCAAATATCTTACTCTGCGCTTTCTATCCACTATGCTGAAATCAAGACAGCCGGCATATCTTGCGAATTACCTAAAGTTCAAGATCCCAGAAAGAACAGGTGTAAGAACGTCTCCTCTGGATCTGAATGTGCCCTCAGCAAGGATTGACTTCTACATAGCTGCTTTTAGAGTGGGTGCGTTAAAGCTCTGGAACAAGCTACCGACTGGCATCCAGGCGTGTTTTGCGAGACCTTGTTTTGGCAGCAAGCTCTACGAGCTTCTTCTTGATCGACCTAATTATTTAGATTAGATAAGCATCTGTGTTTTTTATGTGTGCCTGTGATATCGAGGACCAGTGATCTCAGCTATTAGTATTTTACTACCACAATAGTCTACGTATTACCTATTAGTTTTTACTTTTTGTAATATTTTTGTAATGTTTTCTTTTTACTCTACTTTTCTCTAACGAATTTGTTATATCTTATAACAACTATTATTTATTACTATTACTTATTTTAATTTAAGTATTTATTCTCTATATTATATATATTTAAGTTATAAGCAATTTTATGTATTAGAGCGCTACCTGCTCTAAACTTTGTCAGATTGTACCTAGCTCTGGCTATTATGGACCCTGAGTCCTTAGCTATTTAATAAAAATCTAATCTAATCTAATCTAATCTCTCTC